TACTTTCCGATTCCTACCAACATTTACCAAAAGCTTACACGAATGTATGTCGACAACTACTATGACCAATAAAGGCTTGTCAAGGGCAGCAGTGAGAAACCATCGAGTAATGTTGAAGACTGCCAATGACACACCCCGACCTGGAATGTCCACTTGGACTCCAAATCGAGTTGTGCTGGCCGACACCTGAAGGGTGACGAAGCCATAAAGTGTAGTGATGTGGAAGGTTTGGGTAAATTTAAACCTAAAGTGCCTAATCAAGAGAGTGTGCAGGTGAGCGGGTTTGAACCCTATTCACACGTGATGTCAGAGCATAAGACAGTATAGTAATAAGTTGAGGGTTACACCACTGAAGGTAACCATCTCCTGAGATTTGCCAAAATCCTCGTATATGCGTAAACACCGCTACTAAACCTGGAGGGGCAAAAAACAATTTGAGTGGGTCAGTAAAACAATACTTATACGAAAACCTTTACTTTTGAATATACTAACCCCTCACCATAAAACAAGTATAGTTTCCTCAAAACATACTACGTAAGTATGTAATCAAATATAACATCAATATAACCAGAAATATGCCAAGTCATGATATATCAAATGCCACAATAATCATGTGATAATCAATATAACTAAGTGCTCATCCATCTAAGCTGACACACAAGTTCGAACAGATGGTTTTTGACACGAACAGGACTGGGTGTAATCAATATGCTCTAGTACTACGATCACGTGAAGACTAGTGCAAAAGCACATCACATACAAGTCGGATCGCCTAATGCAATCTACCCGACAAGACTGGCACCTAAACTTGGATCCAAGGTGAGCGAACGGTGCAGATGTGAACATACACGTGAAGGACTGGCCCTGGCCCTGAGGCGAGTACTAACACCGGGTGCAGCAAGATGAGCATGTACACAAGCACGTATGAATGCCATGACAGTAATATCACAACCATATAGCAGCATTTATCACATTTCATATCACAATATCAAATACTTGGCAATATAAGCGTAAAAGTGAAGTAAATACGCATTTATGGAAACTATAATATGTATAGGTATAAAAACAAACTGCCCACTCATAGATACTTCGCCGCTGACGAGCCACGCAACCTAGCGAAGATGGAAACGCCATTAATAATTGCCCCTAAGCACATAAAGGTACAATTAATAAAACTATACTATAACAATTGAATTTGGAAAAAAAAGACGTCAAAAACGGATTCAGAACGTCGAATTACCATAAGAAGGGTCCTACTTAAATTTCCGAAAAGTCAACAAAAGTCAACAGGATGAATATTCCCTGAAAGACGAAATATTCTCTGACGGATGGAAAATTCCCTAACGGAATATTTCATCTGGGTTAAGGGTTATTAGGTTGGGTTAGATTAATAGGTTGGACTTAAGGATTTTAGGCCTAAAGGCCTAAACTAAAAGGTTTAAGATTTAAAATGCATGCTTAAAGCCCAAAAGGAAATGGCCAAAGGCCTTTAATTAACCAAATAATAATAAAGGGTTAGGTTGGGCTGCCCAGGGTCTTGGGCTTGGCAGGAACGGCCCGAAGGGTCTGGGTTTGGGTTGCAGCTCACCGGAGTTAAACGGAAGGGAAGGCCGGATTCGGCCAAAAAACTGAACAACCTTTAAACGTTAATAACTTCCTCGTTATGCAACGAAATCGAGTGAAACAAAAACGAAAGTTGTAGTTCTCGAAGAGACGAAGAGAATGGTACCTCTCACGATGTCTAACTCTCGGTGGTTTGGCCGGAAAACACCTCGAAATCCGTCGGACTCGCCGGAAACTGGGTAAGATTCAAATGAGTATAACTTCTTCAATACTCAACGAAATTGGGTGAAACAAAAAGGAAAGTTATAGTACTCAGCGAGACAAAGAGATTGATTTGCATGATGGCCAACTCGCCGTGGTTTGGCCGGAAATTGGCTCGAAAGGCACATGTCAGACTTGAACTTCTCAAAACCGAGTTGTTTCACATCAAAGCTTCCTCAAACCTTGACTAGAGACCCTAGGGAGTTGCGTAGAGGCTTTCCCGAGTCCTAAAACATCGTGACTCGGTTGAAAACACGTCGAACTCAACTCGTCCGAGTTCGGACCTTCCAAGTTGGCGAGTCAAAACTCGTCCATTCTTGGTTTGGTTGGTATGGTTGTGTTCGTGAGGATGAGAGGAGTAAAATGGGGTTGGTTTCAAGCTCGATCTATGAGCTTTGATGTTCGTTCATGGCGTTGCAGAGGAAGAGAGAATACGGGAGAGAAAGAGATAGAAGAGAGATAGAACCTTTTCTGATAGAGGGGGACAGTAAATAAAGAAGAGATGGGATAGGTGAGAGTGAAATAATGAAGAGAGGTGCACAGGATGTGATAAAAAGGAATCCAATGGATAGGTTTTTAGATTTCCTACAATAAAAGGAAATCGAAATCTATTCGAAGTAGATATTTTACACTTTAAAATTTACGCATACTCGTACTAGCGTGTACAATTTAAATGCGATAGCGAGAAATAAAAAGGAAAGCAATAAGAATAAGTCCACGTCTCTTGCCAATAAAGGTATAATCGTCAATACACATACTCGGGGAGAAATTACATAGGAAAATTAGGGACGGGTCGTCACAGCCAATGTTTGTCAATTGAGGCATTTCATCGAGCATTTGGTTCACACAATAGATTCACATACAAGAAGAGAAAAGAAAGTAATTGTGGAGCCAAAAATAATCACAAGGCGACACGTAGACCTTTGGATAAAAAAAGGACAAGAATACCCTTGAGGCACATTGAGATTCCTACGCGCGAGTAGCGGAGAATCATCTTTCAACAAAATAAAAAATGCTCCAAAAGAGGTAACCAATTCAAAGTCCATCTTATCAAATCCCCTTTTGCAAGGTAACCTACAAAATAATGTTAATTGGTTAATTAATGGATTAATTACCCAATTAATCCATTAAACATCAATTAAATTACCCAATCAATCACAAAATATATCCCATTCACCCTAAAAATAGGTAGTGGCAGGCCACCTCACATTCTTCTTAGTCTTTCTTACTTTTCCCCATTTTACTATCCCATTTATACAAATAAATAATTTTATAACCTCCCATTTACTTCTTTCATACTTAATTAGCCAATAAATTGGCTAATTAAGCCAAAATCATAACCACAAAAACCATCAAGGCCGGCCACACCAAGGGGGAAAATGGGTAAGCTTAATCCTATAAATAGGCACCTATTCTCACCAAAAAGTCATTTCAATTCTCTTACAAAAAATCTCAAATACTCTAAACACTATTTCTCTCTAAAATTCTAACTTTGGCATCGGAGGTTCTTCGGCCAAAGCCCCCCCATTCATCGTGGGCACGTAAGGCTTTTGGCCTTAACCTAAGGTGCTAGTTGTTTTGTAGGTGCAAAATCGTCCAAGATCAAGAAGAAGAATATTTGCATCCACAGTAATGGATGTTAAAACAAAACAAAATTAGAAGAAGAAAGTTATGATTTAGTTTGTCATAACTGTTTATAGAGATCAATACGAATATACAATTAAATATATATAGAGATTTTAAAGCTGTTAGGGGTCATAAGCAATCAATGACCCCATATTAATTATGCCATTGCAATTTCGTACTTTAAAATAACCGCGAACATTCGCCTAAGAAAACAACATACATATTATTATTAGCCAAATTCATATCGGTGAAAAATAAAAATTGCAATGTTGGAAAAAATAATTGAAACTTTGAAATCTGAAAAGTCACGGCAGATAGTCTTTGAGTCTGAAGTCAAACAACTTTAATTTTCCGTGTGGAAAAGTATCTCACTAGATATGTCATTATCTCAGTCAAATTCGTTGAAGAAACGTAAGAAATTGTGTAAAATTCAAAATAATCAAGTATTTTTATATTAGGAGACGTAAGTCCAAAAGGGTACCATATAATATACTTTTAAACATGATTTTTCAATAATAATATAATTACATAAAGTCTGTTGATTTTGCTGCTGATAAGACTTGTTCTGTTGATCTTGGATAAATATAATTTCTGTTTCTTCCCTTACTAAAGATTTGAATTTTTGAAACAAAGAAACTTGACAATGTATATGTTAAACAGTATCAATTAGCTTAAGAAAATTTTCACAGGAGTCAAGTTTTTTTTTTCATTATTAAATAAATGTGTGTTAAAATTAAAAAAAAAAAAACCAAACTTGAAACCAGTGGCGGAGCCAGGGGCATTTGCTGCTACTGACCCTAATAACTTCAAATATCTCCCCCTTGAATTTTTATATAAGCCCTATAATAGCTAAGGCAAACAAAACAAAGACACCATATATTAATAATTTTTTTAATTCAAACTTACCAAAACTACAACCTTTACAAAATAGGGAGAGCTTGTTTAGTGATCAATGTTGCAAAGAATTCACATCATATGGAAAATCAATAGTTGGATGATAACTTGGTTGTATACAATGAAAAATGAATTAAAATCACTGGTTTAATGATTACTTGGTTATATACAATGAAAAATGTATTTGACTTTATTAATAATGATGTTGTGATACGGCGTTCTAAAATATGAGAACATGTACTTACCAATTATAAATGAAAGTATATTTAGTCGGAAGCTTCTTGTTCGTGACCCCATTAATGTAAATTTCTGGTTACGCCACTGCTTGAAACATATATGTACAAGAAGCTATGGAAAAAAAGTACAAGAAAAAGATATGTTTGTAAACTGTACTGTATAATTTATTTAATTAAATCGAGAGGATTAAGAATGGTGGCTAAATATACAATGGTGCAAACTGCAAAATAATGAAAATTACACGCAATTTTGTTTTCACTGAAAGCTCTGATTCTTGCGAGAAACTTGCATTTAACCGGAATATTAAGTGACGAGTGCTAAAACGTGTGAATATATATTTCATTGGCATCCAAACTCGTCATATGTAAAGTAAGTACTATACAGTAATTTGAGATTGGGTTTACACATTCCATATACAATTAATCGTCTCTAAGTTCAGTTAATGGATTCCAATGATAAATTTCCTCATCTCTTGCTCAACGGGCCACAACATTAGAAATCGTCAAGCCATTGACCGAGCAATTGTGAGCACTTACTGCTACTTGATCATGGTGATCAATACATCTCCCTGTAAAGAAGGCTGGTCGCTCAGGTTTAGAAAGACCAATGGTTTCACTTTTCAACATAAGAACAACTGATGACATGGTCGGCCTGTTGTTTGCATCTTCTTGAACACACAATAATCCGATATGAACGTATCTCAGGAATTCATTTGGACTGCATGAGCCTTTCAACAACGGATCCATCAACTCCAACACTTTCCCTTCATTCCATAATTTCCAAGCCTGCAATTATAATTTCATGCTAATTAAGAATGTAGTAATATATTGATTATAAATTTCTATATACCAACATTAATTTGTTTGAGATATTTTTGTATAAGCTAACTCAAGTAAAAACTTTACGTACGTTTCCTATAAGTGTCGGTGCACCATTTGTCAGATGAAAACCTAAAAAGTTCTTTCTCCCCGTTATGATCTCAAGTAAAAGTACTCCGAAGCTAAATACATCAGATTTTATTGAATACAATCCCTCCATTGCATATTCTGGAGCCATGTAACCACTAAATTACATGCATAAACAGATAAGAATTGGAATATGTAAGAGATAATTAACTAAATAGAGGAAGGTATATATATGACTTGCAACTTACTAGGTGCCGACAATTCTTTCGGTGTTTCCTTGAGTTTGATCATCGGCTCCAAACATTCTTGCCATACCAAAATCTGATATTTTTGGATTCATATTTTCATCTAACAGAATGTTACTCGCTTTTAAATCACGATGTATAACTCTAAGCCTTGAATATTCATGCAGATATACAATTCCTTGAGTGATTCCTCCTATTATCATGCAACGCCTTGACCAATCCAGCTGTTCACGTTTCTTGGATTCTATTCACATAAATTAAATACAATACTATTATTAGTATATAATTTAAGATAGAAATTGCAAAGAAATTCTGAAATGATGACTCTTACCAAAAAGAAAATAATCAAGACTTTGGTTAGGCACATATTCATAAACAAGTATGGTTTCCTCTCCTTCCAAACAAAATCCCAGAAGCCTAACAAGATTTCTGTGTTGAAGTTTGGCTACCAATGCAACCTCATTCTTAAATTCTTGTACACCTTGCTTGGAGCTCTTTGACAACCTCTTCACTGCTATTTCTTGTTCATTAGCAAGTGTTCCCTGAAATATTTTATCATCAGAAAACTTGTTTAGAGTTCTATAAATTGAACTAAGCATTAAGCACAGTGTGGTAAAAGTCGTTAATCACTAATTTCTACGACAAAATCATGAAGGTATATATAAATTCACATTTTCATACCTTAAAAACTACACCAAATCCGCCTTCACCTAACTTGTTATTGTCCGAGAACTTGTTTGTAGCGGTTTCAATGGTTCCCAAGTCGAATTGCAAGGACTCAAGAGTCTCTGTGTCGTCCCTAACTAAGAAAATAATGTGTTTCTTACATGTAAGAAACTAGCTAGAAAAACATATAAATATAGTGTTAATTAAGAAATAGGGAAGTACATTTTTTTCTTTCTAATTGGTGAAGGAAATATACACTCTTTCTGATTTCATATGACAAACTAAAGTACATGTTATTTACTTCTTACCGTTTTCTTGACTTGGAGCATTATTTCTTACTGCTCTTCTGCTTGCAAAGCAGTAGACTAATACGACCGTAACAGCAATAAAAGCAAGAATACTGCCAATAATGATTATGTAAGGAGATAATCTGCTTCTTCCTGTATGAACAAAAGTATTACACAAGGTTGGAATTATTAATTTCTTTAGTTGAAATTGTTAAACACGATTATCAATTTTATTAATTCTGAGAATGTTTGGTGGAATTTAGTTGTAATTCGGGTGAAAATTTGTTGTTTATTTATAGGAGCAAAACCCAATATTTATGCGAAACAATATGACAAAGAAATGTAAACTAGCAAAATAAACGAATACAACTAAGGAAGAAATCAAAGTAACTGACGAAACAAAGGAATGAAAAATCAAAGGGATACTTTGGATGCGGTTCCTAATCTTTAACATTTTTTTATTAAAACCTTAATAGTATTCAAAATTTGATCAAGGTCCCTTGACTTTGTACACCTCATTATATTACTATTAATATTTATATTTTTATAGTTTGGACATTAATTGTTTGATATTTTATGAGATTTATAATCCTATAAATTTAAAATCCCTCATTATAATACTATTAGAAACGGTTACAATAAAAAAATTCAAACATTTTGATTGAATAAATGGATAAAAACTATGTAAAAATAAGAAATAATAAATGGCAAAAGAATGTATCCATAGTGTTAAAAAATTTGGTACATTTCACATATAACAAAGTGGTACATTAATAAAGGAGAATGGGTACATTATAAATAAATTAGGGTACAGATAAAAGATTAAAAATTATGAGTACAAATGAATTTTTAAAAATATAGGCGCTAAAAGAAATTAATACATGTGTACAAATAAAACTAAAAAGAAAATACTACAAATTTAAAAAAAAATGTTGCAAATTAAAAGTGGGTACAAACTAAAAATATAAATATATGATACAAAGTTTAGGCATAAAACATAAATATACCATATGTAATTTTTCTATTATTGATTAAATATACAATGTCACGTGACGGTATACACATGGATACAAACACAAATAAAACTTCAAAAAATATGGGCACAAAAAGAAACTAATATATGGGTACAAATTAAAAATGAAAAGAAAATTGGTACAAATTAAAAAATATTTGCAAATTAAAAATAGGTACAAACTAAAAATATATATATATGATAAAAAAATTTAGCCATAAATATAAATATACTAATTGTAATATTTTTATCACTAAAGAAATATATTTAAAAATAAAAATATTTTATTATTCAAATAATTAATGATGTTATTAATACTCAAGGACCTTGATCAAAAATTAAAAATGAATAAGATTTTAATCAATGGAGTAATAAAAAGAAGGATGTGAACCTAATTTTCTCAACAAATTATTAAGGAATGATGACCATGACTAATAGTGGTGATGGAGATGGAGATGATAGATGAGGAAGCGAATTAATAAGTTTAAGGCACCTTTAGGCCTTGCCCTGATGGAGGCTGGCGGAGGAGGAAGCGGAGGTGGGAAGGAGGGGGTGCGGAGGATGTAGCGGTAAACTTCAATCGTAAGACGGCAACTGGGACATAGAAGTCGTCCCCCTTGTTGTATTCTGGGAACTTCTGCTATGGCTCCCTGAAGACATAAATAGCAATCTCTAGGGGACAAGTCCTGCGTGCACTGCCCAAGCACTTGCAGCGAAATGGACCCTGAAACGTCCGCTTTTTTGGTTGCAAACATATTGCTTTTATTGGAAGCCTGAACGGCCAACTCATTCACACTCGCCTCCAGTACCTGGTAAAAGCGGCTTTCGTTGGCCGTTACCTTCGTCTTGTTCCCCAAGTACATTAAAGGGATGTCGTCAAGTCTGGAAAAGAAGGACTCGTCAGAGTAGCGCAACATGCAGTCGACGTACCAGATTATAACATTTTTTCTATTGGGGCAGCGCTCGAGGGCCTCCGACGTTGCGGTGGCAACGCAGGTTTTGCACTCGTCAGTGGAGACCAAGTCGCCGCGGCAAAGGAAGAGGCCGTACACAGTGTCATAAGGGTTTTGGGAAGAGGATGCGGTGTAATTGTAGAAGCCGGTGTAACGCGTGGCTTCGGAGGAGAGGGTGGATAGGAGGCGTTTGAGGTTGGATTGGAAGGCGGAGTTTGGGGTGAAGGTGGTGGTGGGTGGGCAGTACTCGTCCAGGTAAACAGCTTTGGTAGGGGTGGGCTCATGTGCTGTGGCGTTCTGGGTGTAGAAGGGGTAGATTTCGTACCTAACGCTACAACTCGGAAGCAGAACTCGTCCCCCTTGCTTTCCGCTACAACAAGACGGCAATAGCGCTATGACATCCCTAAGGCACTCGTCGCAAACGGCCGCGGACAGGTCCTGCGTGCACTGCGCGAGGCTGTACAACGTAATCAGATCACTGAATTTCGTTTGTTTTGTCGCGAACTTGTAGGCGTCGTTGGCAGCCTCGGTAGCCACCTCGTTCATACTCGCCGCCAGCACCTGGTTGAACCGAGTCTGTTCCGTTACGTTCTGCGTGTTCATCAGGAACACGCCAGGGTTCTCGGCCGAGGTGGAAAAGAATGACACGTACGAGTAGCGCAGCATGCAGTCGTCATACCAGATCACAGCCTCTTTTTCGATGGGGCATCGTTGGGGAGCCTCGCTGGTTGCATTGGCAACGCAGGTTTCACAAGCGTCGGTTCCCAAGACATCACCGCGGCAGAGGAAGAGACCGTAGACGGCGTTGTTTGGGGTTTGGACGGAGGTGTTGTAGAAGCCGGTGGAGCGGTAGGCGTTGGAGGAGAGGGTGGAGAAGAGGCGGTTGAGATTGGACTGGAAGGTGGAGTTTGGGGTGAAGGTGGTGGTGTTTGGGCATACGTGGTAGAGATATTCTGCTTCCGTACTGGTCAGAAAGCTGGGCAGAGTAAAAATGGAGAAAATCAAAAGAACGGAAGTCATGTTTTTCATTTTTTGATAATTGATAATAAAATCATAGGGTTTTTGTATTGAGCATCAACAAAAGCAATGCAGGGGTGGTAGCTTGACTTTCAATTTTGAGTGTTGACCAGAAGAGTTCCTCTCTTACAAACGGGTTTTAGTCTCAATGCCATTGTCGTCTAGTAAGTGCTTGCAACTTGTTCAAAAATTGCACCATTCTGTCCACTGACCATATGTTTAGTTGTTTATTGGGTAAAAAAAATTCAATAAGAAACAGTATTGCTATTCTAAACTGCACCAGGAGAGTGTAAAGGTCTGAATCCATTAAGTAGTGAGATGCAAAAAAATGTTCTAATCAGTAAGGCAATCCATTACTTATAGTTCACATTATATACGTGTTTGCAAGGGTGGAGCTAGATTTTCAAATAATTCGATCATAATTTCAACAACAAAAAATTCATTTGATCATTTCGTCGAGCACTTGGTAAGCATCTGCCGATTCCTACTGGCATTTGCAAAAAGCTTACGTAAACGAATATTGACAACAACTTTTATCAGTAGAGGCTTGTCAAGAGAAGTTGTAGAAAACTATCGAGTAATATTGAAGATTGTCAAAACTTGTCAACTGAGGCAATTCATGAAGCACTTGATTCTTATACAAGAAGAGAGAAAATGAAGACATAGATGATAAAAGAAAACAATATTAGAAAAATGAAGCTATGATTCAGTTTGTCCCTCCTCCCAACAATGTAAAGGAAACTATATACATATTATTTGCAAAATTCATATATGTGAAAAATAAAAATTACAAAGTAGCAAAAAATAAATGAAACTTGTTGATGCACAAAACCAGAGGCCTTGGAACAACGTAAATCCGACTGTGAATCTGCAAGAAAGTAAAGAACACAAGATGTATCGTGGTTCACCCCAATGTTCGGACTACGTCCACACTGATATTGTATTTCTCTATTTGTGAGAGGATTGTGAGGGTGAGAGCTTCTTCCCATGGCCTAAGAATTGGCCTCCCCTAATGAGGAGAGTGATGGGTCCTTTTATAGAATAAGGGCTCCTCACTTATTACATATTTGCCCCTTCATTTATTACATAATTACATTTGAGTCCCCCGAGTATTTATACGAGATCTAAATACAGAGGCCCTAAGTATGGAACAAACAGTAGTCCCCCAAGTCTTTAGTTAATAGAGTCTTTTGGCTGGAGACTTGAAATTCAGCCCATGTGTGGGTCGAAGTAACTAGATGTCGTCTAGAACTGATACTCGATATGAGGCGGTGCTCAATGTGAAATGATGCTTAACTAGAAGTAGCACATGTTGTAAGGCTGCTCGGCTTGTGGCTTATGTTGCCTTGGTTGGCTCGACTTGTGGCGTTGAAGGTGAGGGAGTCCCTTTTATAGAATACAAGTTCGCTCCTCAATACAAAAATGATGGGCTATGAGTGATGCTCGCGGCGAGGCGGTTGCTCAGCAAGCGGCGATGCTCTCTAATGATGGTGAGGGAGTCCCTTTTATAAAATAAGGGCTCGCTCCTCAATACATAAGTAATGGGTGTTCTCTAATGAAAGTGAGGGAGTCTCTTTTATAGAATAAGGGTTCGTTCCTCAATACATAAGTGATGGGCTAGAGTGATGCTCGCGGCGAGGCGGTTGCTCAGCTGGCGGCGATGCTCTCTAATGATGGTGAGGGAGTCCCTTTTATAGAATAAGGGCTCGCTCCTCAATACATAAATAATATGCTAAGTTCTCCAAGTATTTTTCATGAGGTCTAGTTGTGGAAGCCCAATATATGATACATAGTGTAGTCCCCCAAGTCTTCAGTCAATAGAGGCTATTGGCTGGAGACTTCAAATTCAATCCATGTATGGGCCGAAGTGGCGGTTGTTCGGAGGCGGTATTTGTATACCCTACAGTGAAGCTTTGTAGGTGAAGCTTTGCAAGTGAAGCTTTGAAGCTGGAGCTTTTGTAAATGAAGCTGGAGCTTTTGTAAATGAAGCTTTTGAAGCTGGAGCTTTCGAAGCTGATTGACATGAGTGATGCTCATGAATGTTTATGTTGATTGACATGAGTGATGCTCATGGATGTTAGCATGAGTGATGCTCATGAATGTTAGCATGAGTGATGCTCATGAATGTTGACATGAATGATGGTCATGAATGTTTATATATGATTGACATGAGTGATACTCATGAATGGTTATGTATGATTGACATGAGTGATGCTTATGTATAATTTTGGAGTACTGGACGTACTTTTGATCACTTCGTTAGTGATAATAGCGGCAAGCTGCCGAATAATTTTGGAGTACTGGACGTATTTTTGATCACCTGGTTGGTGATAATAGCGGCAGTGTGCCGAATAATTTTGGAGTACTGGGTGTACTTTTGATCACCTGGTTGGTGATAATAGCGGCAGGGTGCCGAATAATTTTGGAGCTAGGCATACTTTTGATCACCTGGTTGGTGATACTAGTTGCAGGGTGCCGAATAATTTTGGAGTACTGGACGTACTTTTGATCACCTGGTTGGTGATAATAGTGGCAGGGTACCGAATAATTTTGGAGTACTTGGCGTACTTTTAATCACCTGGTTGATGATAATAACGGCAGGGTGCTGAATAATTTTAGAGTACCGGGCGTACTTTTGATCACCTGGTTGGTGATAATAGCGGCAGGGTGCTGAATAATTTTGGAGTACTAGGCGTACTTTTGATCACCTGGTTGGTGATACTAGCAGCAGGGTGCCAAATAAATTTGGAGTACTGGACGTACTTTTGATCACCTGGTTGGTGATAATAGTGGCAGGGTGCCGAATAATTTTGGAGTATTGGGCGTACTTTTGATCACCTGGTTGGTGATAATAGCGGCATGGTGCCGAATAATTTTGGAGTACTATGCGTACTTTTAATCACCTGGTTGGTGATACTAGCGGCAGGGTGCCAAATAAGTTTGGAGTACTGGACGTACTTTTGATCACCTGGTTGGTGATAATAGTGGCAGGGTGCAAAATAAACTTGAAGCCATAGGGCCTGACTCTTATAGGCATATGGGCCTTGGCCCTCCACATAACATTCCAGCCTATTATTTTGGGCTTGCCGTTTTGGTTTTTTTTTTTTTTTTTATTACCCCTGATGGGGTTATACAGATGTCTCCGAAAGATAAGAAAAATAAATCACATCATTTTGCCTGACAAAGATAATAGAGTTCTTTATCTTCTTCCAGTGGTCGACACCCTTTTTTGTTTTTCTCCCCCTTCAGACATCTTTTTCCTTTATATATTCCTTTTCTTCCTATTGCAGGTTTACAGCATGGGGTTTGGTCAGCAGGCATGATCTGCTCCCTTTATTCCTTGCTTTTGCAGATTTGCGTGCCTGCTATCCATAGCTTTTCTGTGGGTGGTCGACAAAATAAAAAAGCACCAACCGCTATTATCGAATTGTTTTAGCTTTCAATTAAAGAAAGCATAATTCTTTCTTTTCTCTTTCCACTGCGTCTCTCTCTCTGTCTTTCCACCTCCACCCTCTCTGGCAGACTTGCTTTTGCTTATGCAGACTTGCTTTACATCAAACATATCCATAGCTTTTCTGTGGGTGGTCGACAAAAGTCATCCATGTGGGTGGTCTGATTAGTGCTGCCAGTGATAAGCAAGCAAGATGGCAGCAACCTAACTGGAGGTGGCTTGAAAAACGAACTGCCATCCTTGTAGGAGCTGCCGAAGACGACGAGATCCGGCACCTAGACGTCATAGTGAGGGGTGACATGGCAGATGAGGTCAACAAACTGCCATGTTGCGTTAACGCCAAATCCGGGGATAAAGAAGAGGTTGGGCTTGGAAGGGTTCGGCGATTGCGGGACCTAGCAGTGCAAGGATGTAGCATTTGCTGGATCATCGAGGGGCCAAAATGTCTAATAGAGACTTTCATTCCAAAACCTTGGCAGCCAGGACATTTCATTGAAGCACCTGACTTCGACCCCTTACCCTTGCACTTGGAGCAGATTTTGTTGAGTGCGAAAGAAAGCTTTTTGGATGTTCCATTGTAGAGATCTTTCAAAGAAACCTTAAGGGGATGGATCACATAATATAGGTGATCAAGAAGCGGCTTCGGTATATTCAGTGACAATGGCCAGAATTTAGTTCCTTTAGTGGGCCCACCCACCATGATCATAGCAACCACCTTCTCGTCCAAGCTCCCCATGTCTTATGCAGAAAACCCAGATCCCAAATGCTGACGGAGGCAGCGGTGGTTCTGCTAAAAAGCCAGAAACAGGGAACAAGGAAGGTACAGCAATAAACAAAATAAAGGGTCGGTGGAATCCAGAACGTGTATTATTTTGATTTTTTGGTGGGGATGGAGCTCCGACACATGCCCCGGTTATCGAAGGCGCACATATCGATGCTACCGCCGCTAAAACCAGCCTCATTGTCGGAGCAATCGGCGGCTACCGCTCTCTGGTCATCATTGAGGATAACGGTCCCCGTCAGGCCATGTATCTGTGGACCCCACGAGTCCTGCATCCCTGCCAATCCTATGATGAGGAGGACCTTAGTCGGTCTGCGGCCGTACGTTCTGTAGAAGATTCTGGTGTTAAGCTTGGCGACCTCGCAAAACGACATCATAATGGAGACGAAAGAGCAAGATAGAATTTGGGAGAAAGAGATATAGTTGAGCGAAAAGTTTTCTGGAAAAGCCAAAATGTGAGGTTTTGGGTTATTGGATTTTGCAGATTCACGGCGGAGGTAAAAAAAATGAAAGAGAACCAACACAACTTTTCGTATCGTTTCCCACAGACAGCGCCAAATGTTGATGCACAAAACCGGAGGTCTTATAACAACGTAAATCCGACCGTGAATCTGCAAGAAAGTAAAGAACACAAGATGTATCGTGGTTCATCCCAATGTTCGGGCTACATCCACACTGATATTGTATTTCTCTGTTTGTGAGAGGATTGTGAGGGTGATAGCTTCTTCTCATGGCCTAAGAATTGGCTTCCCCTAATGAGGAGAGTGAGGGGTCCTTTTATAGAATAAG